TCCATCCTTCCGAGGTGGGTGAAATGAGGACCCGGATTGTTGTTGGGGGAAATATGCTGACTCTGTAAACCGCTTAGAGAGGGCTGAAAGCCCTAGGAAGCGGTATATAAGTCTTATTGCTATTGCTTCTCCTCCAAGAGGAGCAAAGCCTTTGCGTGGGGCGGGCGGGGGTTGGGGGGTCCCTTTGCTCAGCCGCTCTTGTGCCCCGCCTGCGAGGGGAAAAGGGGAGGAGGAGGAGAACCGAGCCCACCTGGGACCTTGCGCGCACCTTGGCACAGCCGGGGGAGGCGTGGCGGCTTCCCGGAACGGCCCACCCTGTCCTGCAAGGGGGAGGCGCCGGCGGGCACCGCTGAGTGACCCGGGAGCCTTTCCCTGCCTCCCCCGCTCCGGCGCAGTGGTTCCTCCCCGCGCATGCCAGTTCTTCCTCCGGAGAAAGCAGCCCTTTTCGCCATGAGCTCCGAGGACGAGCAGAAGCGGCGCTTGATCCGCCAACGGATCCGGGATTTCCCGGACTTCCCCTCGCCCGGCGTCCTGTTCCGGTAAGCGCCCGGGAGAGCCACGCGGGGCGGGAGCGGGGCGCCCCCTTCGCTGCCCTTCGGGGCAGAAGCCAAGAAGCCGCCCGAGCGCCCTTTGCCCGGCCCGGCCCCGCCGTGGGAGAATCAGGCGAGCAAGAAAGAAGGCTGCCCTCGTGGAAGGCGCCCTGGGCGGGATCCGAACGCGGGACTCCCCCGCCGCCTCCCCGAGAGACCCGGGAATCCCCCCCTTCCTCTCCACGGCTCTGCGGCGCCGGGCTCTGCCTTCCTTACCTGGCCGCAGCCCCGAGCTCTTCCCCGCGCAGGAGAAGCCAGGAGGGGGGAAAGGAGGAGCCTCCGCGGGAAGAAGGCGCTTGTTGGAGGGGATTATGGGTCTCTCGATCGCCCTTCCCCGAGCCCCTTGCCGGCTCGACGGCCCCGTCCAGAGCTCCCATTTTCAGGGAGGCCAAACGGGGTGGGGGCGTGAAAGGGACTCCTAGAATAGCAATAGCAATATAATAGCAATAGCAGTAGACTTATATACCGCTTCATAGGNTCCCAGAATTCCCCAGCCAGCGAATGCTGGCTGGGGAATTCTGGGAGTTGAAGTCCAGGCATCTTCAAGTTGACAAGGTTGAGAAACGCTGCCTTACACTATGTCACGGCACACTAGTGTGCCGCGGCACAGTGGTTGAAAAACACTGCGTCTAGTTTGGCCTGTGCTGAACGCCTGAGGGGTACCCGGCATGGCTGTTTCTCATCCAGTGGGCTGATCCATCAGCCACAACCAGCACTGATGTTTGTGGCATTTCCTTTGCGAAAGCTGCAGCATAAGAGCTGTGGGGAGTCGGGGGGGGGGGCGCGGCAAGGGCTCTTAAGGTGGGGAAGGGGAGCCACTGCATCTCAGTCACAGGACCAAGACCCACACTGGCTCTGCAAGGGTTTCAGCTCCACTTCCAACGGTGCCACTTTTGGGGAAGCCGAGGGATCCAGGACTGGCGTGCACCCTGGCACAAGAATCCTTGTTGGTGTGATGAGCGCTGACTCACACACACTCTCTCTGTCTGTCTGTCTGTCTTCCAGAACTGGGCTCCTCCAGGCTGTGAGAAGCTGGGGAAGTGTTTGAAAGCCCCCCCTCCTGACCCAAAGAAATGCTTTTGGCCACACTGAGGGCCTGGCCTTGGCAATCCACTGTCCGGCAACTGTTGTGCACCCCCCTCCTCTGAGAAGGTGACTCCGGCTGCTGCTTGTTCAGAAGAATCCATCCCAAGAATCATCTCAAGAGGGGTCGCTTTGGCGCAGGGGGGTCTTCTGTCTTTGCATTGGGACGGTTTTAATCTCTCTGAAATGAACCTCTCCGGAAATGGGGGGAAAAAAACCCCGCTTGATCCTCTTGCAGGGAGGAATGGGCTGCAGGGGAAGAGATTTGCCCCCCTCTTGGATCCGGAGGGCCGTCTCGGGATCAGCCAAAGCCTTTTCAAGACTCAGGTGCTCTGCTTTTCGGGAAGAGCCAAATCCTTACATGAAGGAGCTTCTGCTACTGTGGTGTTGTTTTTTAAAACGAATCAGTTTTATATCTGTTGAGGCCAATTTTTTAATACTGCTGAGCATTTGTAAGAAATGAAGGCTGGTTATATATATGAGCGGTCTGTGGTCGTCTCCTTTTCAGGAAAATCCTTTGCCAAAATAAAGCAATGGAGGCCTTTGAGACCGGGTGTCAGCTGCGACTTCATTTAGTAATCAGGAAAGAAACCACTCAACTCCATTTGTCTGAAATCAAGTGTACTTTTACTAATTATAAACGAACAGTAGCCAAGCTAAGCTGAATCTGGTTAACTAGGCNCTACCCATGAGTGCTTTCCTATGAAGGATTAAGAAATAACGCCCAGGGAGAGAGAAAACGAGAGAGAGGGGAGAACTTGCCCTCTTTCCTGCCACGCCTGTTGTCCTTTTACCACCTGTGTAGATCTGGACCGAGCCCGTCCTGGGTGCGATGCCTGGTGTCATGAGGTCTGGGAAGGGTTTCATCTGTCACGAAGCCTTTTTCAGCCAGGCAGGTTGCTGTCCCTACAACATCTGGGCTGCCCCGGAGGTGTTCCAGGCTGCGCTCTTGTGGGCCCATGTGTTGGTGAACGAATGCAGAGGGCGGACTCCTGGCAACTCCTGACATTATGGGCGGACGTCCCAAAGGAAATTTTCCAAAAGGCAACTGGACTTTCTTTGGGGTTTTCTTTTCTTGAAAACGTTTCGCTTCTCATCCAAGAAGTAAAGTAAAGAGAACTGAAGAAGCTCCTTCTTGGATGAGGAGTGAAACGTCTTCAAGGGAAAAACCAAGGAAGTCCAGTTGCCTTTTGGAAAAGCAGCTTTGGGACAACCCTGACCTGGAGGACTGAGAATCCCCAGAGTCCACCGGACGGGCAGGTGGAGGGTGCAGTAAGTAAGTTAGAAGGGGAGAAAACTGGTCCCCAAAGGAACAGTCCACATCTTATCTTGATGCACCAAAGGCCCAGATGTGGCCTCTGCTGGATGGAGAGAGTTGGGTGAGATGCCGGCTAATGAAGGCAGAAACCATTTGGGCCTCTGCTGCAGCTCCTTTGCCTCCCTTTGCCCCCTGGCCCCTCCCTCGTCCTCCCCACTGACCTCCTCCTCTTTTCCTGGTGTTGCAGGGCATCGATTTCTGCCCGGGGCAGAATGTCTCCGGAGTCACCACCCACCAGCAAGTGGAGCACTCCAAGCTCCCCCTGATCTTCCACTTGGGGAAGGACCCTGGAGAGAAGTATCCGATCAGGTGAGGGGGAGGGAACCTGGGCGAGGGGAGCTCCCATCCAGGGAAGGGAAAGGGGTTCCGGGGGACGTGCTGGTGGGCAGGAAGGCAGCGCCACTGGGGGGGCCTTGGGTGATTCCGTCTCCTCCGCTCCACGGATCAATCCAGAGGAAGCTGGTTTTGGAAAGGGCTCAGGTTAAACTCCTCCCCATCTCTAGTCATGGGAGAAACACCCCAGGTTTTTTTCCAGGACTGCAGGCAGCCTGTGTGTCTCTGTGTTAATTTAACTTAATTGTCCCCCTTGGCAGCCAGCCTGTCAGGGGTGCCTATGCTAATTGCGGGTGGGGGGCAATCACTTGGCCAAAGGTAATTTGGCTTCAGGCACGTGGCAGAAAGGCCATGTTGCCTGCAGGCCAGCAAAGCAACCGGATCCCTGTCCACGGGGAAGGGGGAAAATGCTGGGGCCCACTGGAGGCTTGGCCTCTGGCCCCTTTTTTCCGTAGGCGGCCATTGGGGACACGGAGGCTTCTTCTGTGAAGGCGCAAGCAGAGCTATGAAAATCAACCCTCAGCAACTGAAGATTTGTGCACTTCAACTCCCAGAATTCTCCAGCCGGCCGCGAATTGCAATCCACACATCTTAAATTGCTGAGGTTGAGTAACCCTGGATATAGGGCCAAGCAGCCCTCTGGTGTAAAGGATGAAAGGACACGGAAAGAAGCTTCAGGTGGAGCCAGGTCAGCCTCCCAGGGGGAGCAATTCTAGAAGCAGGGGGGAAGCCCCCACCCCACCTTTGCAGGTGACCCAAACCATTTTGCCCCCAGGGTTACCGCCCCTCGGATTCGCAGCCATGCTAGAAAGCGGGGGCAAAGAACCTGAGACAGGAGTGGTGGGGGGAAGCTGGTGTGCTACCCGCCCCCACCCCTTCCTCTCAATTCCGAGCTGATGTTGCTGCAGGCCACAGCAGGGTTAACCACGGAGTGAGCTCCGTCCTCCGGATCCCCTGCAAGTGGGGGGCGGGGGAGAAGGGACAGATTGCGGGGGGGGCACAATTACGCTAAATGAACTAAACACACATCACACCTGTGCCTGGGACCACCTGCCTCCCCTTCCATTCCTGATTGGCCCTCCGGGGACCTCCCGGAGGTAAAGTGTTAATTAGTGTAATGACCCTGGGCTCCAGTCCACTCCGTGCCTTCATCCAGAGTCTGGAATAATTCCGGTACACAGGGGGGAATCTCGCAGGCGGCCTCCTCTCCGCGCCACCTGCTCTCCCAGCGCTGGCTGGCTCTTCCCTTTCATTCTTCCGCTGCAATTCCCAGCCGCCCTTGAGGAGGGTTGGAGAGACGGAATGCAAATCGAGGGCATCCCGCAGGCAAAGCGGTGCGTCACTTGGCAGAGGCATTCGAGACACCTGTGCCAGGCGTAGCTCCACGAACATTGTGGATTCGAACTGAGCTCCCTTGATTTTTGGCCTTGCCAAGCACCTCCATCCCTCTGGGAGCAGANTCGTGTCTTCGCTTTCGTTGCCTTCTCCCGTTTCTGTCTTCCTTGGAGGAGCTCCCCAATCCCTAAACTTTCTCGTCTGCGCCAAAAAGGAAGTCTGAACTTCGCTTCCTCCCAATTGTGCCAAGTTTTAATGGCGGCTTCCTTGAACTCGGGCACAGGTGTGTTTCCTCACCTTGCCAAGACGCCCTCCTGCCCCTCCTGACGGACTTGCCCTCTGAAGGGCTGACCCCCTTTCCTCGCTGTCTTCTGCCAGGCCTCGATTCCCGCGGCTTCCTCTTTGGCCCAGTTTTGGCCCAGAGGCTGGGGGTTGGATTCCTGCTCATCCGCAAGAAAGGGAAGCTCCCGGGAGCCACCGAATCCATCTCCTACGCACTGGAATATGGGAAGGTGAGTTTGTGCAGCTCCAGCAAAGTTGCACCAAACACTGGAGGTTTTTAAGAAGAGATTAAGACGACCATTTATCTGAAATGGTATAAGGTCTCTTGCTTGTGAAGGGGGTTGGACTAGAAGGCCTCCAAGGTCCCTTCCAACTCTGTTGGTGGCTTTTTGGCTGACCTGCCAACTTGTGGGTGAAAGGCCCTTTGTTCCCCTCCTTCCTGCAGGCGGAATTGGAAGTCCAGAAGGACACAGTGGAGCCCGGACAGAAAGTCATCATAGTGGACGATCTGCTGGCAACGGGAGGTAAGCGATCGGTGGCTTCTTGCGACACCAACTCTTGCAACTTCTGAATTGTTTCGAGGCACTTCGCAACTTCTCCTGCTGTGGGACATGCTGTACCCTGTGGTGGGGCGGGGAGGGGGGGGCCCTGGGGGAAATTCGGGGAATTCCCAGGAGGGCACAAGTGAACTCAGTTGTAAAGGAAGAGGTGGGGGCGATGAACTCAGGCTGTGGTTTGGCAGGGCGATTGCAACATCCTCTTTAAAAGTTCCATTTTTATAGCGGAAAATAAGAAGCTGCTCTTAGTGAAGTGTGTTCAGCCACAATATTGTTTCTGGTGCTAAGAACTGTGAAGGATCAAATGGGAGGTTAGCACCTCCAGCCTCCTATGGCCACCATCTCTGCCGGTTGCAAGGCTACAAGTGGGGCAGGATCCATTCCTTCGAGTCCCATCCAGGACGGCACCTCACCCAGAGGCCACGCGGCGGTTCCACCACAAAACCGCGGTAGACTAAAGTGCGCTCGACGAAAGCGCGTACGTGACGTCATCACAGCGCGACAAAAACAGCACG